GTTTTTTTTTTTGTTTTTTTTGGTGACCTGTCAATCAATCCAGTAGGCATCAGCAAAAGACCAATCAGCAACTTCAATTTGTCCCGAAGGTAAACACCCCTTGTCTGTGGAGCTGCTCTGCAGATGCTCTGGATGGACGCTTGAGCATGAAGTCGCAACCCTCTGCGGACAGTGCACATAGTTTCCACGCGACTGACAGGACACGCGAGTATACTGGATGGAGCCTTTACTCTTTCTTCAACTTTAATGTGACCCAAACTGCAATGTATCCCCTGACAAATGTTACATCAAAATGACCGGCGTGGCACCATGATGTGTGCTATTACTTTTATTGGTGTTTTGAGTTACCATGGCGACGTACTTTACAAATGAAGACACCATTTTTCTAATTGAAAAACACTGACAGAACTCTTTTTTTCCTTCTTCTTTTGACTGCTCCTTTCTTCAGGGGTCACCACAGTGAACTAACACGCACGAAAACTTGTCAATTGTTTTTACGCTGGATGTCCTATCTGATGCAACCACAGAGACCACCGAGCTACCACAGCCCTCTGTGTGGAGCAGAGAGCTGCCATGTAGGGTGCCCGGGGGAAGAGGTCTCTGAGCAAAACTCAGAAGCTCATCAAACAAACTATTCCTACCACCACATCTTTAAGATACACATGCATATTACATATCACAACATAAGCATTTTCCATCCATCCATCAATCCATCCATCCATCCATCCATCCATCAGTTTTCTTCCACTTATCCGGGGTCAGGTCACGGGGGTAGCAGTTTAAGTAGGGAGGCCCAGACTTCCCTCGCCCCATCCACTTGGGCCAGCATCTCTGGGGGAATCCCGAGGCATTCCCAGGCCAGCCGAGAAACATAGTCCCTTCAGCGTGTCCTGGGTCTTCCTCTGGGTCTCCTCCCACTGGGACGTGTCCGGAACACCTCACCAGGGAGGCGTCCAGGAGGCAACCTAACCAGATGCCCGAGCCAGCTCAACTTGCTCCTCTCGACGTGGAGAAGCAGCGGCTCTACTCTGAGTCTCTCCCGGATGATTGAGCTTCTCACCCTATCTCTAAGGGAGAGTCCAGACATCCTGTGGAGAAAACTCATTTCGGCCGCTTGTATTTGAGATCTTGTTTTTTTCGGTCACAACCCAAAGCTCATGACCATAGATGAGGGTAGGAACGTAGATTGATCAATAAACTGAGAGCTTTGCCTTTTGACTCAGTTCTCTCTTCACCATGACAGACCTGTACAGCGCCCGCTTCACTGCATACACTGCACCTATCCGCCTATCGATCTCACACTCCATTTTTCCCTAATTTGTGAACAAGACCCCAAGATACTTGAACTCCTCCACTTGGGGCAGGTCCTCTTCCCTGACCTGGAGAGGGCACTCTACCCTTTTCCGACTCAAGACCATGGCCTCGGATTTGGAGGAACTGATCTTCATCCTGGCTGTGTCGCACTTGGCTGCGAACCGCTCCAGCGAAAGCTGTAGATCACGATCTGATGAAGCCAATAGGACCACATCATCTGCAAAAAGCAGAGACGCGATCCTAGGGCCACCAAAACAGATCTCCTAAACACCTTGACTGCGCCTAGAAATTCTGTCCATAAAAGTTATGAACAGAATCGGTGACAAAGGGCAACCTTGGCTGAGTCCAACTCTCACCGGGAATGAGCCTGACTTACTGCCAGCAATGCAGACCAGGCTCTGACACAGGTCATACAGGGACCTAACAGCCCGTATCAAAGGGCCTGGTACCCCATACTCCCAGAGTACCCCTACAGGGTTCCCCTAGGGACATGATCGAATGCCTTCTCCAAGTCCAAAAAGCACATGTAGAACGGTTGGGCAAACTCCCACGCAACCTCCAGGACACTGCTGAGAGTGTAGAGCTGGTTCAGTGTTCCACGACCAGGATGAAAACTGCACTGCTCCTCCTGAATCTGAGGTTTGACTATCTGACAGACCCTCCTCTCCAGAACCCCGGAAATGACCTTACCAGGGAGGCTTAAGAGCGTGATCCCCCTGTAGTTGGAACACACTCTACGGTCCCCCTTTTTGAATAGGGGGATCACCACCTCGGTCTGCCAATCCAGGGGAACTTCTCCCGATGTCCACGCAATATTGCAGAGTCGTGTAAGCCAACACAACCTTACAACATCCAGAGCCTTAAGGAACTCCAGGCGAATCTCATCCACCCCTGGGGCCCTGCCACCGAGGAGCTTTTTAACCACCTTGGTGACCTCAGCTCCAGAGATTGAAGGGCCTGACCCAGAGTCCCCAGGCTACGCTTCTTCAGTGGAAGACGTGCCGGTGGGATTGAGGAGGTCTTCAAAGTATTCCGCCCACCGACCCACAACCTCCCGAGTTGAGGTCAGCAGCACTCCACCCCCACTATAAACAGTGTTGGTGGTGTACCGCTTTCCCCCCCTGAAATGCTGGATGGTGGACCAGAATTGCCTAGAAACAGTGTGGAAGTCATTCTCCATGGCCTCTCCAAATTCCTTCCATGCCTGAGTTTTTGTCTCAGCGACCACCCGAGTCACATGTCGCTTGGACTGCTGGTACCCATCAGCTGCTTCCGGGGTCCCACATGCCAAAAAGGCCCGATAGGACTCCTTGTTCAGCCTGACAGCATCCCTCACCGCCGGTGTCCACCACCGGGTTTGAGAGTTGCCACTGCAACAGGCACGACAACCTTGCGGCCACAACGCCGGTAAGCCGCCTCGATAATAGAGGCACGGAACATGGCCCACTCAGACTCAATATCCCCTACCTCCCCTGGAACATGTTCGAAGTTCTCCCGGAGGTGGGAGTTAAAGCTCCGTCTCATAGGAAACTCTGCCAGACATTCCCAGCAAACCCTCACAATATGTTTGGGCCTGCCAGGTCTGACCGGCATCCTCCCCCTCCATTGGAGCCAACTCACCACCAGGTAGTGATCAGTGGACAGCTCTGCCCCTCTCTTCACCCGAGTGTCCAAGACTTGTGGCCGCAGATCAAATGAAATGACGACAAAGTCAATCATAGAACTGCGGCCTAGGGTGTCCTGGTGCCAAGAGCACATATGGACACCCTTATACTTGAACATGGTGTTTGTTATGGACAATCAATGATGAGCACAGAAGTCCAACAACAGAACACCACTTGGGTTCAGATCGGGGGGGGGGGGGCGTTCCTCCCAACCACACCCCTCCAGGTCTCACTGTCATTGCCCATGTAAGCACTGAAGTCCCCCAACAGAACAAGGGAGCCCCCAGGAAGTGCACTTTCCAGTACCCCCTCCAAGGACTCAAAAAAGTGTGGATAATCTGAACTGTCGTTTGGTGCATAAGCACAAACGACAGTCAGAACCCGTCCCCCGACACGTAGGCGGAGGGAGGCTACCTTCTCATTCACCGGGGTGAACCCCAACACACAGGCACCAAGATGGGGGGCAATAAGTATGCCCACTCCTTCTTGGCGCCTCTCACCAGGGGCAACTCCAGAGTGGAAGAGTGTCCAACCCCTCTCAAGGAAACTGGTTCCAGAGCCATGCGTAGAGGTGAGTCAGACTATTTCTAGCCGGAACCTCTCAACCTCACACACCAGCTCAGGCTCCTTCCCCACCAGTGAGGTGAAATTCCACGTCCCAATAGCCAGCTTCTGTAGCCGAGGATCAGACTGCCATGGTCCACGCTCTCCACCACAACCCATCCCACATTGCACCCGACCCCTTTGGCCCCTCCCACAGGTGGTGAGCCCATGGGAAAAGGGACCCACGTTTCCTCTTCGGCTGTGCCCGGCCGAGCTCCATGGGTAAAAGCCCGGCCACCAGGCACTCGCCCGCATGCTCCACCTCCAGGCCTGGCTCCAGAGTGGGGCCCTGGTGACCCACGTCTGGGTGAGGAAACATTAAGTCCATTTATTTTTCTCATCATAGGGGTGTTTGGGCTGCACTTTGTCTGGTCCCTCACCTAGGACCTGTCTGCCATGGGTGACCCTACTAGGGGCGTGAAGCCCCTGACAGCATAGCTCTTAGGATCATTGGGACACTCAAACCCCTCCACCACAGTAAGGTAGCAGCCCATCCATTATCTTCCACTTATTACAAAGTCGAGTTGTGCAGGCAGCAGCTTGAGCATGGAGGCCGAGACATGTCTTTCCACAGCCACCTCTTCCAGCTCTTCTGGGAGGATTCCAAGGTGTTCCCAGGCCAACCGAGAGACATAGTCTCTCCAGCGTGTCCTGGGTCTTCCCTGGGGTCTCGTCCCAGTTGGACATGCCCCAAGCACCTCCCTAGGGAGGCGCCCAGGTGGCATCCTTACCAGATGCCCGAACCACCTCAACTGGCTCCTCTCGACATTGAGAAGTAGCGGTTCTACTCAGAGTCTCTCCTGATAACTGAACTTCTCACCCTATCTCTAAGGGAGAGTCCAGCTACCCTGCGGAAGAAACTCATTTCAACTGCCTGTATTCACAATCTCATTTTTCAGTCACTACCCAGAACTGATGACCATAACATAGACCGACTGGTAAATGGAGAGTTTTGCCTTACATCTCAGCTTTCTCTTCACCACAATGGACCAATACAGAGTCCACAATACTGCTGACACTGTACCAATCTGTCTGTCAATCTCATGCTCCAGTCTTCCATCACTCGTGAACAAAACCCTGAGATACTTGAACTCCTTCACTTGAGACAATGTAGGCAACATAGGAATTTTGTCATCTAAATTTTAAAATGGCCACCACGTGGCAATCCCCATTAAAGTTTCTCCGGGAACTTTCTAGTCTTTTTTTGTCTTCATGTTTGTTGTATCAACATTTTTTATTTGTCTTTTTTCATCCCTGCCACGTCTTTGTCATGTTTGTTTTAGTCTTTGTTGTATCCTCCATCTTTGTCAGTGATGTCATCAGTGTACATCATCAGAAGTTAGAAAGCAAGTTGTTCTTTGATTTGTCTCCAGGTCAGATTTAAAGCACAGGAAGTGAATTAGTGAGCGAAAGACTTACTTGGGTCGCGAGTCAGGCACCTCCCAGCTGTCTCCCAGCTCATTGCTGTTTAAAGCTGCCGTGTTGTCTGGCTTCAAGTTGTCATCTTTGGGGTTTTCATTGAAGTTTCCTGGCGGGAAAAAAAAACAATATGACTTCCTTCTCAAACAAGACAAAAAGTTCTATCTGATTATCTGCTGAACAAAACGTCACAGCCATTTTCGTTGTGGAGGCCATCTTAAAATGACGACTCCTATATTTAATGGCTGGTAGAGCTTTTATAAAATTCTATTTAAAATATATTTTGTTAACAGACAGTGAAAAACATGATTTCTGTTAGAATATGTTCTCATATTAACTTGTCTTTATGGATTTGTTGTGTTTTGTGTTCCTGCTGCCTTATTTGCTTGAAAAAAGGCACAGCTGGAAGTTATGTTATTTTCTGGAAGTTACCTCACCCACCTCACTGAACAACTATCGACCAATCTCTAAACTCTGCATTTTAGCCAAGGTTCTAGAAAAACTGATAAACTCTCAAATCAAAAATTACCTGGACTCATTTAACATCTTACCTCCACATCAATCTGGTTTCAGGAAACAGCACAACCAGTGCTTCACTGAAGGTTCTTAATGATGTTGTTGAAGCACTGGATGCTAAGGATTATTGTGCTGCACTTTTCTTAGACCTATCTAAAGCTTTTGACACTGTGGATCATAACATCTTGTGTCATAAACTCTCAGAAATCATTTTCTCAGATCACACCATTGGTTGGTTCTCTAACTATCTTTCAGACCGGAGGCAATGTGTTCAACATAATGGTACTTCCTCCAGTTATTTAACAGTCAACAATGGTGTACCACAAGGCTCAGTCTTAGGACCCACCCTCTTTACAATCTACATACATAATGTAGGTAAAAACATCCCTAATGCATCCATAAATTTCTATGCTGATGACACAGTTGTTTATTGCCGAGCTAAAACTGTTGCTAAGGCTTTCCAGCTTTTGAAATCTGCATTCAACATCATCCAGACTGATTTGTTTCACCTCAAACTTGTCCTAAATGCCAACAAAACCAAAGGGATGCTTTTTTCAAATAGGAAGTTGGTCCCAGCAGTTCTTCCTCCGATTTTATCCTCAAATGGTGTCCCCATTGAGTTTGTTGATTCCTATAAATATTTGGGTATCTTGGTCGACTCACATCTCTCTTTTAAGCTCCATGTGGAAAACTTGATAAAGAAACTGAAAGTTAAACTGGGTTTCTTAATCAGAAACAGATCCTGTCTAACCCTGAATGCTAGAAAACGCCTTGTATCAGTGACTTTCCTTCCCTCAATTGATTATGGTGATATTATTTACATGAACGCTCCTACAAGAACCCTGCAGATGTTGGATGCTGTCTATCATGGTGCACTAAGATTCATAACTGGCTGTGATTATCGTACCCACCACTGCACACTGTATTCACTGGTTAACTGGACATCATTAACTTCACGCAGACTCTCTCACTGGTATATTTTCATCTTTAAATCACTTCTTGGTCTGTTGCCTTCATACATCTCCTCCTACATGTCTCTGCGGGAGTGCAGCTACGAAGTGCGCTCTCAGGACATTATTACCTGCAGTGTTCCCTCAATGAGGACTGAACTAGGCAAAAGGGCCTTCTCCTATTCCGCTCCTGTTTCCTGGAACATCTTACAAAAAGATTTGAAGCTCTCGACCTTGACCTCTCTAAGTGTCTTTAAGAATCTGTTGGACACCTGGCAGGGTCCAATGCTGACATGTTCCTGTTTTTAGTTTTCTACATTTGTCTTGGAATCTAGCTGTTTTTTGTTTTGTTACCTTTTCCTTTTAGCCATCTTATTTGTTAAAAAAAAAAATGTAGTATGCTTTTTTATAACTGTTTATTGTTGTTGCTGTTGTCCATTGTTGTTATCTTTCTTTGTTGAAATCAGGTCTCTCTTGTAAATGAGTCCTCGAGGCTCAATGGGGTTTACCTGTATAAATAAAGGTTGATTGATTGATTATGTATTCAGTCACTTTATGTTTGTCATTATGTTTGTGCATGTTGTTCTGCTGTTATCCACTAGAGGCGATAAGAATGAGTTATGTGTGTAAAATTGTTCTGAAGAAGAAGTTGTGGGGCTTGTGATATAATAATAATAAAAAATCGTCATTTTATTTAAAAAGTGCCTTTCATGACACCCAAGGACACTTTACAGTAAGAACAAAGATCAACAGGAATAAATTACATAAAGAATATAAAATACATACAGAATATAAATTACATACAGCAACGTTAAGGATAAGCGAGTCTAAAGAGATATAACAATAAACTAACATTTTTATTGGAAGAAAAGACGTGGTTCCTTGTGACTATAAGTACTAAGGAGGAAAACACAATAAATATGAGTAATGGAGATGAAAACGCAACAATATCCTGTGGTTTTTCTTTTAATTATTCTCATGTTTTATTTTCCACGTTGCTTTTGTTAACTCCATCTAGATATATCTTATGTTTCTTACCACACATTCCACAGAGCTGGCCCCTGTAGCTGCTTGGTATGGTGACGTCTGCATGGTGATTCCCATCAAACCGGACCCTCAAACCGAACCAGGTCTCCATAACCACAAACTTTCCACTCAGGTAGACATTCAGCCCAGTGGCAGGGGTGACGGGTGGTGTGACGGCTGTTCCGTTGACCTGATGAAAAAAATCCGACTGAAGGCCAAGAAGGACAGAAAAGATGACGCAGTATCCAACCATCTACAGAGAAGATGACTCAGCATCCAGCCATATACAAAGAATATGACAGCATCTAGCCATCTACAGAGAAGGTGACTAAGGATTCATTGTTATGCTGATGATACTCAGTTATATTTGTCCATGAAACCCAACGAATCCAATCAGCTACTTAGACTATAAGCATACCTTAAAGATATAAAGACCTGGATGACCCTAAATTTTCTGCTTTTGAACACAGACAAGACTGAGGTTTTAGTTTTTGGACGTGAGTATCTTAGGAATAATTTTTTCAGTCTTTCACCCTCCTTGGATGGCATTAATTTTGGCCTCCAGCTCTAATGTTATAAATCTTGGTGTTATTTTTGATCAGGACATGTCTTTTATCCAACACATTATAAACGTTACTAGAACAACCTTCTTCGACCTGCATAATATCGCTAAAATTAGAAACATCTAAAATGATGCAGAAAATCTGGTTCATGCATTTATCACGTCTAGACTGGAATATTGCAATGGTTTATTATCTGGGTGTCCAAATACTTCTTTAAAACGTCTTCAGTTAATCCAAAATGCTGCTGCCAGAGTCTTAACGTTAGTAGGAGAGATCATATCTCTCCAGTTTTAGTTTCCCTCCACTGGCTCCCTGTCAAATCCAGAAAATAATTCAAAATCTTACTTCTAACCTACAAAGCTCTCGACAACCTATCTCCATCTTATATTTGAGATTTTTTTGTTCCATATTTTCCTAAAAGAGCACTTCGCTCTCAGGCTGTAGGCTTACTTGTGGTCCCTGGAGCTTCCAACAGCAGAATGGGAGGCAGAGTTTTTAGTTATCAGGCTCCTCTCGTGGAACCAACTTCCAGTTTCTGTCTGTAGGGCTGATACATCGTCCAGTTTTAAGACTGGGCTTAAGACTTTCCTTTTTGATAAATCCTATACTTAGGGTTGGTTTCTTATGCTGCCTTAAGCTTAGACTACTAGAGGACCAACTGACCTAATTTCCTTAAATGATTTGCTAAAATGTAATATTTTTCATTTGATACTATTTCTATCTTAACGTGATTCTTGATCTGCCATTGTGTATCTGTTCCTACCAAACCCAGCCGGTCGAAGCAGATGACCTCTTGTCCTGAGCCTGGTTCTGCTAAAGCTTTCTTCCTCAGGAGGGAGTTTTTCCTTTCCACTGTTGCCTTCGTGCTTTCTCAAGATGAGAGTTCTGTGATGGAGTTAAACTCAAAGCAGTCTGCTCCTCAGATAAACAATATTAAATTATTATTTTTATGAATGTTTCTGTTAACTTATTTTTATATATTAATGTTTCTGTTCAGTGTCTTGAGATGACTTCTGTTGTGACTTGGTGCTATATAAATAAACTGATTTGAACTGAATTGAATCCAGCCATCTACAGATAAGGTGACTCAGCATTCCTTTTTCTTTTGCAATCAAAATATTTCTGTATATTTTGAGCTATTTCAAAATTTATCAATCAAAATGTTTAGCTGCATCAGCAAATATGAGCTAAGACTTTTAGATTTTCTAAAATTTATCTTTATTTTAAATAAACCCTCCATAAAAACACATTGAGATCTCCTCGTTTCCTTTGAGAACAGTGTTTTCTTTGATCAGTGGCTCACTGTTATGTGCTTCGGGCACATTATAATTATTTTTTCTATCTTTTTCCGATTGCTTTGTTTATAGACTTTAATTGAATGATCTTTTGTTAATATATTTTGGAGATGGGATAATTTCTAATCTTTTATAAACAGTAGTGATTACGTTAATTGATGGCGCTGCTGGTCCGCCTATAAATAGGCTGGGTTTCGACATGTTAGGGAGCCCGTTTTTTTTTTTTTTCACTCGCTTCCGTTCGCTCCACGCTGTGCGTCTTGACGCGGTGCGCGCATGTCTCCAGTTGCTGCAGGCCGCAGCTGACATCTCCAGCTGATATAGGAATGATTATTTTGATGCTTTTATGTCAATTTATACTTATACTCACTTTATATGCAACTTATCTGTCCAAAGTCAGGCCTGTGCTGCAGATGTGTTAAGGAGTAATTAAAGTGAGCCTCCTGGGGATGCTCTGACCGTGGGATCTGGCCCATCTTACGGTTACAGTGACCCAGAGTTTGATGTAGACAGGTCTTTCATCCACCCACGACTTTGGGTTTGAAAGACATGTTTTTATGAGCCATCGCTCTGTTGTACAGACTGCTTTGATGATGGAAAACATGTTTTAATGAGATACCGACTTTCTGTCTGTCCTCCTGACAACCATCAAACTTGTTTTTCACTGCTCTCACGTGATCCGGTCAGGGAGGAGTATATAATAAGTTTAACAAACAAAGAGAGTCAGAAGTCTTGCTGAGGACCAGCGCGCGGTGCCCAGCAGTTTTGGTGTGATTTCCTGTCATTGGGTCGAAGGCTTCCCGACTAAGTGTCACGGTGAGAGGACTCTCATATCAATTTGTGTGTTAAGAGTGTACGAGTGTACATGTTTTTGCTTGGCTGTTTTTTCTGTGGCAGATTAATAAATGACACTATTATTTCTAGCAGTAACAGTCTCCTTTGTTTCATTTCCTCTCATGTGAATATCTGGTGCCGACCGATTCACGAACCTTGTTAAAGAAATTTCATAAAACACCAGCCTGCCATGAGGTAGTTCTGCTAGACCTTGTTCGTTTGCTTGATTTTTCATTGCGATTTTGGTTTGGTGGGATCGGATGTCCTGTTGTCGATCTTTCTTTTGCATTTAGAGTTTTTTTGCTTTAGTCCAATACTAGTAGGGGCTTCGATGGCCCTGTATAGGGTTGGCCCCCTGCTGTACCGTTTTGTTCTGTTTCATCGACTCACCAGGTCCAACTTTCAGTTAATACTTTTGTTTGTTTTTTTGGGGGGTTTTTTGGGACACGGGTAGTTGAGGGCATTTAACTCTCTCTTTTGTTCTCTTCACAGAGAATCAAAAGCAGGTGAACCAACCCAAAGGATCAGGGGAGTTTAAAAATGATATTTTTATGAACCCTCATTTTTTGTCTCGTGTCCTCAAATATGTTGTGTCTTTGTGGACGTAACATATTTATGGGGGCTCGTTTAAACAATGCTTACCTTTGGCAACTAGTCGTGTCCTGAGGTTATTTTTGGATTTGTAGTGATTATGCTGGTTTTTCTGTGCATTTTGGCACAGCTGGCGTTGTGGTGGTTTAATTAGGACATTTGGGCATGGTGTTGTTGTAGCTTGTTGGTGCATAGGCTTTTGTAATTAAGTGTGGTTTGATTCTAGGGTGTAGACATGGAGCTTAGCCTGGATGAGTTTGTTGAAAAGCCCACATTGGAGGCCTTGGGTAAATGCAAAAAGGATCAGTTACTGTTAGTAGCCATTGACAAGCAAGATGGTGCCTGTGTTTGTCCTCGCCGCTGCTGGTTGTCCCAAAACTGCTGATGGCCGTTATTTTTCGGCATTTTTTATCTGTTTACTCCTGTTTTTATTTTGTATTGGGGATGTTCAACCTATGCTGGTCTATGATCGACAAACGCTGCTGTCTATTCGGGGTTCCATGCAGAGGAGCCACGCCCCACCCTCAGGTACCAGCTCATTCTCACCAGAGAGCGGCTTTCCATCCGACGTTTTCTGCGACCCTCAACTGTGTTCGCGCGGATCTCGGAGAAAGAGGAAGAGAGGCAAGAGAGCCGGTGTCCAGGTGAAGCTCAGGCTTTTCTGGAAGCGTGGGGTCGTTGGCAAACGACTCCATAAAACTCTTCCCACTTGTTTTGCTGGCTTTTGGTCCGATGGGGATTTTACAAACACATCCCGACCCGGCTGTGTTCTATCTGGACCTCTGCGCTGCTGCTACCTCTGCTCTGTGTATCCAGAAGCTCCGGACTCATCACCATTTCTCCCCTCCGTTGATGGTCTACATAATATCCATGGATCTAACTCTCAGTCTCTCCATCACCTGCTACGGCAAGTACCCCGCCTTCTTCCCCACTGCGTATGGCTCTGTTTAATGTTCGTTCAATTACTAACAAATCGTTCGTGCTGAACGACTTCATAAAATCTCAAAATTTGGATTTTTTGTTACTAACTGAGACCTGGCAACGTGATTCAGATTTTATTTCTCTTATCGAACTGTGTCCTGGTGGCTATTCTTTCATCAGCCAGCCGAGGCTGTCTGGCCATGGAGGAGGCCTCGCAGCAGTGTTTAGAAACGGGTTTTCCTGCCGTACATCTAATGTTGGATGTTTTGCATCGTTCGAGCTGCAGCTCTTTAAAATTGGGATTAAGGACCCATTTTATTGTGCAGTGGTTTACCGTCCACCTGGTCCAAACGGTACTTTCTTAAAGGATTTTAGTGACTTCTTATCAGCTACTCTAAAGCTGTCCAGGCTGGTTATTGTTGGCGATTTTAATATCCACGTTGATGACGTCACTGACTCCTTGGCAAAGAACTTTATCAGTGTAATGTACTCTTTTAATTTCATTCAGCATGTGGCAGGACCGACTCACTCCAAAGGACATACCTTGGACCTTGTTTTTACTTTAGGTGTGAACATTGATTGTTTGTCTTCTGAGGACATTTTTATCTCTGATCATCACTGTATTCTTTTTAATTTATGTCAAACTGTTTTACAGCAATCACCTCGCCGTGAGGTCAGCTCTCACTTTTTAAACTCCTCAACAGCAGACCTTTTTCTGGCTGAGTTTAATCCATTTTTATCTCCTTTTAATGATGTAGTTTTACTGACTGATCATTTTAATGAACATTGTCTCTCTGTTTTAGACAATATTTGCCCTATCAAAAAGAGGTCATTGCCTGTCTCTAACCCCACACCGTAGATAAATGACAGCATTCGATGTTTAAAGCGTTCTTGCAGAAAAACTGAACATTTGTGGAAGAAAACTAATCTACAGGTGCATCTTCTGTTTTTAAAGGATCTCTTAGCCTCTTTTAACAATGCTGTTA